GCTATTCTTTTTTATTTTGTTTACACACAACAACACGTGTCTGCAGCAGCTAATTACCCAGTATTTGAGTGATCTGGCAGTGCACGATTTCTTTTTGTTTTTAGAATAGCAGCTGTACCTTTTTTTGGAGATGGCGCAGTTCGAAAACATCCCTTATGGTGGCATCTTCGGTGGTGGTACTGGAGTAGCTGCCATACTTCTTAAGTGTCCTACATCAAAAACTTCCAAGTCTACTGAAGGGATCAAGCCAACACTGAGGCCTCTTAATCTTTTTGACCCAAGCGCAGTGACACTCACAAGCATTCCACTCCAATAGCTGGGTACAACTTGGGTGTGCGTTTTTTTTTTTGTTTTTTTTTTTAACTGTATATATTTAGCTCAAAAAAAAAAAAAAAAAAAAAACACACATTACATAGTATCCAGCAGTCCCAGAGGAGCCAAACATTGGAGTAAGATTCCTTTCAGAGTCATTAAAAAAGGCACTATCCACCACCATGGACTGAGAAATAGTACAGAACACACATCTTGCATTTCTCTACTTATTGTACGCCTAAAGACAATGTGGCGGATTGCCATTGAAGGGGAGAAGCAAATTATATACTGTCCCCCTTGGAGGGCAAGACTGCCTGGTGTAGTCTGTTCAAGCAACTCCTCTATTGTGGTAGACTATCCACCACCACCAAACCAAAAAGGTCTTACAGTGATAAAACAAGTCCAGCATTCAGAAATGTAAACATTTTGTAGTCATTCTCTATGTAATATTCACAGAACATCTGGAGGCAGTAGAGCATTCATCCATTTTTAAACCTCTTGTTTCACATGAGCGACTGAATGACTGCAGAGAAAGAAAACCAACTGCACAGCATCTATCAGGGTCAAAGCTGGAATCCCTGGACCAGTGCAGCTGACTGGAAATCATTGTTCCTCCATAATCTACATAAAAAGCCGTTTCACTAATAGGCCCAATTAACATTTTTTTTTCTTCTGCAGACAACATAAATGCAGCCTTCAAGAGTCGCAGAAGCGATAAAATGGAGGTAATTAGCAGCCTTGCAGAATAGGGGCTGCTGGGAATGATTGGCTGGGGTTTGTGTAGAGCTATTTTTAAGTGAAAGTGCAGGCATGTGAAACCCTGCACCGATTCCTGGCACCACTGCCGGAAAGCATTAACTGAAAACAGAAGAAAAAAAAAAAAAAAAAAAAAAAAAAAAAAAAAAAAAACGAGGCCTTGAGTGCAGTGTTGATTGTAATTATTTTGCAGAGATTTAATCACGGTGCAAATTGCAGAGCAGAATTTTAAAGAATGCGTAGAGGATATGCATGCAATTTATTCATGCACTAGAACTGTTACTGATCTCTAAATGACTAAGATATACCAAGCATAGATCCCAAATGTCTTTATCCTGGAGAAACCATCTCTTTGCCCTCTATACTCAAGTCCAACAAAAACGATCTCTCCCTTAGGTATGATATATAGCTGCAAAAAAAGGGATGGTCAAAAAAAACCACACACACCCCTTTTAAAATGTATTTTTGTCATGACCAGGGGCGGACTGACAACTCATGGGGCCCTCAGGCAATAGGGGATCATTGGGCCCCTGTATCCTTGCCCAAACTCAAAAAAGCCTATGAAAAAAAAAAAAAAAAAAAAAAAAAAAAAAAAAAAAAAAAAAAAAAAGGTACCAGGGGCATCTTATGGGGCCCCCTACTGACCCCGGGCCCTCGGGCAGTGCCTGAGTTTCCAAATTGTCAGTCCGCCCCTGGTCATGACTACATTGCTCCCTCCAAGCTCTCCTTTTCTGTAAGCCACCTATGCCTCCCGTTCATCATCATAGAGATGGATTCGATATCACTGTACTAGCAGAACCTAGCATGCATTCATTTTGAAAGCATAAGTATATTAAAGGGTGTTCTATAATTGCCTAGAATTTTTTTTTTAACCGTTTTGTGTCTATGATACAACTTTTTTTTTTTTTTTTTTTTTAAAGTTCTCAGGTACAATGCCGCATTCCATGACAGCATTAAAACATTGCAGTAGAGAAAATGGAAATTTACACTTGAGCAAGTTTCTAGTTCCCAGACTCTGCTGGCGAACTGCCAATATTCTGAGTTGTAGTCAAATTAAAATGACTTATACCGGCTACCCCAAGTTTGGTCTGGGCTTCTCTGCATTAGGGTTGAAAAATCTTTATCCATTTCAGTTCCTGCCATGGTTCCTAGCTCGCTATCCTCAACTGGAGTTTGTTTTCAGTGTTACCTTCCACTGTTGGTTGTTCCCTTTTCCCCTAAATACCTTCATCATATAAAATAAAAATATAACAAAGTGAAATTTATTTTTTTTGGGGCTGTGGCAGGGGTGCAGATCCAGGAACCTAAGAGCATGCATCTTTCCACCTAGAAAGTTGAAGTAGAACTATGGCATTTCATTAACAAATGTAAGGTACTGCAGCATTTAAATATAAGGGCATTCTGTTTTTCTCAGTCCCACAAATACCTGTTTAGCCTACTGGGGAAGTTCACCTAATGCATCTTCCTGTTATGGGGTGGAAAAAAATGCTGTACTGCTCCTGAATTGAGAGGAGAATTGCCCTGTCCTGTAAACTAGGTCTGTTTGCACCAGTGGGATCAGACTAGGTTTTGGTGCATAGGGGGCATGGCTATCAGCATTGTCATTTGCACCTGGCCACACCTAGTCTTTTCTACTGCTTTCTGGATTGACATTGTTAAAAAACCCTCCCACTCTGAGGGGTATATGCGAGACACATATGGAAAATTTGGCTCAAGGAATGTAAAAGGATTTTTGTTTGCTTTAGGAGGCTTGTGCATCACATAGTAACTGAATTTGGTACTTGTTTAGACTGCCAAAGAGGAGTCTTTGGTTTTGCAATGGATGCTGGACCATTTAAAGTACAACTAAACAAATTTTGGGTAGACCATTCTTAGTTTTGAGATGCGTATAGCTGGGGAAAAAAAAATATATTATAATGTATTTATCTCTAGAAACTTCAGTAATGCATGAAAAGTTAGACCTCGAGACTTGAGCGCAGAGTGTGTACAAGATTTGTTTTTATAATTAGCATTTTTTATTATTCTGTTTTTGGACTGATAAAAGCAAGCTATATTTATATGCTCATATGGCGATGCTTTTCTCCAAGAAATGACAGGCTTATTATACAGAGACTAAGACTATATCTGCAAGAGCCAAGCTGCAGATGAAGCCAAATGCTGCTTTGTGACTGGCAGACTGCCACTAAGCTCCTTAGAGGGTAAACTGCCTCGCTCTCAGTTCTGGAAATATTGCTTTGTACATTACATGCTCCATGTGAAAAGGCAACACACTGTGCTTTGACCAGTGTTCTCCAGTATCTAATTAACGTCCTGTTGCAGAGATTAAATATTTCCATGTACAGCAAACACCACCTCTGACAGTAAAAAGTGCCTCGATGTTTGCAGCCAGTATAATTTTTTTTCCCCAGATAAAAAAAAAAAAAAAAAAAAAAACAAAAAACACACCACCCCATTCAAGTTTTGTTCAGTAACCCACTGCACATTACTAAATAAGTTTATTAATTTTTGAAAAATTAAAATGCTTTTAGAAAGGCAGTTCTAAAAAAGGAGGTTACCATAATCATAAGGATGTCTGCTATAGAGCTCAATATTAGTTGGGACCCCATACACCTGCCTACTGGCCCAACACCATGATGTACCCAAGAGCAGAGACCATGGCAGATCAGACAAATGTATTTTAGCAGAAGCCAGCCTTACTGACCAAATTTTAAAGTGTGGTAGGGATGGGCCTGCTCACAACACTGCTGAGAAGTGTAGACGTTTGCATAATAAGGCTCCCGAGAATTTAAGGCTCCTAGACCACTCAAGAAGATTTTTCAAAAGGCAGTGTCTGAAATTTATTGCTGTGGCCAAGTTATAGAATCTGAAAGGTGTACTTTATCTTGTTGCAGCTAACATTTTTAAACATGAGATACTCATTTCACAAAAATTCTTCATCTATGGGAAATGAAGAACTAAAGTTTCATTACACTGCATTATACAGTCTAAGTTAATTAAGTGTTTCAATACAGCAGTGTTCTATTTCCAACTGCCTAGGGGAACTAGACCATTTTATTTAATGGTCCAGGTCAAAAACTATGTAACGGACTTAACAAATTTACACATGTAGAAGTTTGGATTTGCATTACATTAGGTCCAGTGGTGGGCACCCTTCGAATCCACCTCATCACTTTACCCATACTTCCCCATCCCATATATGGCCTTCATGGCTCAAGCATGAATGAGCCCCAATAGGTCTTTGTAAGGAGATCTACATGCATGTAGCCATCTCTTATAGAGAAAGCTATTCTGTCCAACAGTATGATTATCTTAAAATGCAAAAGGTTTAGATTATGCCTAGCAATTTGAATCACTCCAGAAAAAAGGTCAGACTTTCTAGACCCTTCTGCTTTAGGAGGTTTATAAAGCCCAATGATGCCATGCTCTCCCTGAAGGAAACTGCATAACAATAGGCAGGAAATTTAGGAGAAAATCATGTCTTCTGGCCTTGGAGGACATGGAGACAAAACTTCACAGTTGTAGAATCAAGCATAAGCTGCTGGGTGGTCCAGCTTATTTGCGTTCATGTCCTTCAATCAAGAGCAGCAACAGGGCTTATATGTCAGACCAGCAGAGGCACAAACCTCTACCAGACCTGTGGCCCTGGAGGTTTAGCTTGGATTCCTAAATACTAGTCTCTTACCCAACTTGTTGTTCAGTGTTTCTTGCTATGCAGGTTTGGTATACTGTGTGAAGGTTTGTTGATAGGTCTTAATGAAGGGGTGTCATAAGGTTCCAACTGCATATAAAGACCAAGGGTTGTTCAATGCCACCATACCAAAATGCATAAAATTATTAATATTTGTACTCCCTCACACTTGTGAAAGCCACAAAACTACATTGTTTGCTTAAACCAAAGCCCAGCAAGCACAAAACACTAAAACTCCACATACGTGTAAGATGACTTGAGCTGGAAGGGTTGACACTGTCAAAACTATCCCCACTTTCACTACTGGATATGTCTTCATCTGATTCCTGGATAGAAGAACAAGGGGAAGATCCATCGACTTCTTCAAATTTCCTCTTCAAAATCCCACTCATAGCTGCAGTGCTGTCACATGTGTCTGCGGGAAGGAAAAACATAATAAACTAAAATGTACTTATATAAGCAAGAGTGTAGAAAAGCATATTAAAAGCAATACTGGTTTTAAAGTATAGTAAAACGTTTCATAAGTGGTTACTAATTAACCACAGCCCATTACTAATAGTGATTAATAACCACTATTCTAGATAGCCGATTATGGTGCAATTGTATTGCTACCATTTTTCTTTCACAGCATATTTTGCAGCGATATTACCAGCACTGATGCTTGAGGGAATGTCTACAAATCAGGGTATAGAATGTAATCATTAAAGTGTGCCTGTGTTCAGAGCAAAACAGAACAGTGCAGACCACATAACCTTTTCGAGCATAAGAGCTTCCCTTCACTTCTCACTTTGAGTTATATTTGGCAAACACAAGGGTTCCACCTGCTGACTGCAACAGCACTGCTGAGAACTTGGAATCTAGTAATATAAAACCAAACTCACCAATGGGCGGTTTTGATACTGTGAGTTAGAACACTGAGATAATTAACTTTGTGAAAGAATGTGCCATTAAAGCTTCAGCATACATGATTTTTTTTTTTTGCAATCCCTGGACATAGCTGTACTTTTAGATCCCCTATGCCAATAAAAAGTGAAGATACAGGTAATGGTTTTAAGAAAAAAGGTGTCAAGGTAATGTATGAATATTTCATATTACATGTGAAAGGCGCAGCCCGATTTAAATCCTACCAATGTTATTATAAACCTTGTTTCTAGGCTACATATGTAAGTCTATAGGTTTGGTACAGGCATATTTGCTCCCTGCATACAGTTTCTAGTTCCTACTACAGTGGTTTTGTTTTCACAGCTTGTACTAAAAATGCAAGTCTGACTCATCTGTGTGTGGCTGATATTTCACATCAGCTGAGAAGCAGCACCATTGTTCTGTTGGATCTACAGGCCCTACATTTAAGATATGAAATCAAGTAAAAAATGTCAGATCCAGAAAATTACTTTTGGTTTAAGACTTCAAAAACCAACTCACAAACATGCACTTCTAGAACGTACATGCACTTCTAGAATGTACATTGCACTTCCCGATTAACATTACGGGCCCACTCACATTTTGCAGTTCTTGTGTGTCTTGTATTTTAAAATATATGTTGCATCCATAAGCATGGGAACACCCTAATTACTCTTGTGGAGAAGATTCCTCTTGTTCCCCACTGGTCTCCTGACTGACAGCATCCTCTGCCATACTGACATGCCCACTGCCCTACTAACCGTATATGTTTTAAATGGATTTAAAAAAATGTTTGCTTTCATTTATTCACACACACACACACACACACACACACACACACACACACACACACGAGCTTTGGGGTGCCCTCCCTAATGCAATAGGTTGCACACACCTTTGATTGCATCAACTCAGCCCCAGCTTTGCCATCACTTTAAAAATAGTTAAAATTTGGGCCAAGGTGGCCCATAACATTTCTTACATGTGACAGCTGTAATCTTTGTATAAACTAAATGTAGACCTACATACAGTATGCAGCACCATGTTCCCCCAGCAGTAGAGGGCCTTTTGGTCCCATTCTGGGAATAATGGAGTTGGGTGAAGCGTTGCTCAGCCAGCCATTCACAAGAGACTTTGTATTGTTATAAAATCAACACAAGGCTTCCTCTGAATGGAGTTGGAGATTGTGATGTCATCCATGAAATAAAAAAAAATAAAAATAAATAAATTTGGGTTGTTACTGGAGTCATTGGAATATCCAAGTTAAGGGTTGTGCCCCACCAGCTCCAATTTCCTTGCTGTACCTCACATAATGGTGAACATTAAAGAAAAGCTCTTCTGACCCAGTGCTTTGGCCCTATTCAGGCGTTCTACTTTCTTTTTCAATCTAAAAAGGTAGGCCATACGTTGGATTGTGAGATTTCTTCTAGGACATATTCACATCTGGTTTATCACAGAAGGAAAGAACTCTGCCAAATTTACACAGTCTCCAGGAACTGAGGATTCATCTGCATTCCAAGGGTTTGTCATGCTTGATACTCTGCTTATGATTGCACCACTAAAGCATGAGAGGGGGGGGTTTATGTGATCGACTAAGTGGCACAGTAGAACCCCCTTTCGCTGAAGTTACAGCTGTAAGTCTTTTTTGGGGGATGTCTACCAGCTTTGCACATCTAGAGTGAAATTTTTGCCCATTCTTCTTTGCAAAAAAATAGCTCAAACTATCAGATTGGATGGAGAGCATCTGAACAGCAATTTTCAAGTCTTGCCAATTGGATTAAGCCTAGAGACTTTGACCATTTTAAAAAACACATGAATATGCTTTGTTCTAAGCCATTCCATTGCAGCTCTGGCTGTATGTTTAGGGTTGTTGTCCTGCTGGAAGGTCAACCTCCGCTCCAGTCTCAAGTCTTTTGTAGACTAGACTAAATGGGTTTTCCTCTAAGATTTCCCTGTATTTGGCTCCATCCATCTTCCCATCAACTCTGACCAGCTTCTCTGTACCTACTGAAGAAAAAAAAAAAAAAAAAAAAAAGCATCCCCATAACATGATGCTGCCACCACGTTTCAAGGTGGGGATGGCATGTTCTGGGCGATTTACTGTGTTAGTTATCCACCACATGCTTAAAAAAAGTTAAAAATTTTGGTCTTATCCAAACAGAGCTCCTTCTTCCACGTTTGCTGTGCCCCCCACATGGCTTCTTGCAATTTGCAAGCGGGACTTCTTATGGATCGCTTTCAATAGTGGCTTTCTTGCCACTCTTCCATAAAAGGCCAGATTTGTGGAGTGCACGACTAATAGTTGTCCTGTGGACAGATTAGGTGGACAGCCATGTTGGTAGGTTTGCAGTTGTGCCATACCCTTTCCATTTTCGGATGATAGATTTAACAGTGCTCTGTGAGATGTTCAAAGCTTGGGATATTTTTTTTTTTTTATATCCTAACCCTACTTTAAACTTATCCATAACTTTATTCCTGACCTGTCTGCTGTGTCCCTTGGCCTTCATAATGCTGGTTTGTTAATGTTTTCTAAACAAACCTCTGAGGGCTTCACATAACAGCTGTATTTATACTGAGATTAAACTAAACACAGGTGGACTCTATTTTCTAATTTGGTGATTTCTAAAGGCAATTGGTTCCACTAGATTTTAGTTAGGGGGTATCAAAGTAAAAAGGAAGCTGAATAGAACTGCATGCCACACTTTTCAGATAATTTGTGAAAAAAAATAAATAAATTTGAAAACCCTTTATTATTTTCCTTCCACTTCACAATTATGTGCCACATTGTGTTAGTCTATCACATAAAATACCAATCAAATAAATTGACATTTTGTAAAATACTATGACACACGCTGTCATGCGCGTGGACAGTCCACATCTGCTTTGACACATTCTATGACACCATGTTGTGTGGCTTAAGCTAACCAAGTTACTTGTATGAAAGCTGGGGTATATTCCAGACACTCTGGGCCTATTCACACTACCTATTTATGGAACTTATATAGCGCTGTCCATTTACGCAGCGCTTTACACACACACACACACACACACACACACACACACACACACACACACACCAGTCGCTAACCCTCAAGGGGTGTACAATCTAAGGTCCCTAACTCGCTTTCATACATACACATTAGGGCAACTTAGACAGGATCCAATTAACCTACCAGCATGTCTTTTGGAGTGTGGGAAGAAACCCACGCAGGCACAGGGAGAACATGCAAACTCCAGGTGGTGCCGTGCTAACCATTTGCCACTGTGCTGCCCATATTGCAGTGAATTCTTGCATGTGCGTTAACGTGTATTTTGCCATGTGTAGTATTGAAAGGCAGCCTATTCATTTGACTTGGGTTGCCCAACACACACACACAAAAAAAAAAAAAAAAAAAAAAAAAAAAAAAAAAAAAAAAAGGTACAATTTTTGACTATGCATCACACTCATTAGTTCTTTGCCATGTGTTGGGCTGCAACGCACATCTGTCAGACAAATTCAGGTGTCATTCAAAATTAAAGGCTATGCACCAACACATGCAATGCACCTTCATTTGAGTTAAAGCGGAACTAAAAACTCCCCTAACCTTTACAATCAAGGAAACTGCCATCATAACCTCCCCGTAATCTACAGTTACTATGGTGCTGCACATGTGATCAGTTTATGACACCAGATGGCTTGACAGTTCGGTTGAGAGCACAAGGAACTGTGGCAGTTATCTTTCATAGCATGATTTGAATATAATCATTGTGGGCAACAGTCAATGGGGTTAGTTCAGTTTTAAAGGAAGCTATTTACATGAGAGTTGAAACCTCTAATGTTGCAAAGAAGAAAAAAAAAAACAAAAAAAAAACCTAGTCGTATTTGACCCTTGGCGATTGCATGGACCGGCACTTGTTTTTCCATGAATTCTCTTAGCAATTATTTTACAGGGTAGGTTGCCAGGTCTTTCCCCAACCTCTACCATGCAGGAGATCCCACATGGCCAGGGATGAAACTAAGACAAAAAGAATATATCTATATCCATATCTAGTTTTGGACTGCAGCTGCATTTCTGGAATGCTGTCTAGATTCTCAGTATACAGTCTACAAGGCATGGCAATTTCCCCAGTTTGTATGTAAAATGTATATATAATATTATATATATATATATATATATATATATATATATTATATATATATATATATATATATATATATTTTTTTTTTTTTTTTTACATACAAACTGGGGAAATGGTCATGCCTTGTAGACTGTATACTGAGAATCTAGACAGCATTCCAGAAATGCAGCTGCAGCCCAAAACTAGGTAGAACTGTATTTACCCATGTCAGCAAAATTCCCTAAAAATTCTCTACCAACAGCTATACGCTTTTAAAAATGACCACATAATGTAGCTCCAGTTTCAGAACAAGAATACCCGTTTCAGTACAAAATGATGTAATTAAAGCCCAACTGAAATTTGTTGGGAAGTATTTTCTAGATGCATCATCTTT